TTGTTGTGAAAATGGACGTAAATGACTGCAGCAGTTTTTACTGATGCAGTCATTTACGAAGCAAATTGTTATTTGTTACTGTTTTTATTCTTAATTTTTAAATATAGTTTTTTTTTTTTTTAATTTTTAAATGGCTGGCCAGCTACTCCTGATATCGATGTCAATCCAATCTAATGTACATGACAATTTTGTACTGCACTCATGAAATAACAATTAGGAATTAAGTTAAAATTGGGATCGATTTGCAAGTTATTTTACATTAAGAAGTTACACTAAAATGCATTGTTTTATGAATAATAATGGAATGGTAGCCCCGCCTGTGCTATCAGTATACACTGGCGGGGCACTAGTGAAGATGAAAAAGCAAGTCAGTTAGCCCATCGTGACGAATTCAACGATAAATTAGTCACTATACTTTCCAGGGCGAGCCGCGTGGAGGATGACCTGATAAGGCATAGACAGCGATGGGGACTAACCTCCCCCTGTTATTAACAATCCCCCTGCACTAATATGCATTTATCTGAACATAATGGAACCATTTTGTTGCGAGTATTGCAATTCGAGAGTGTGAAACATTTCAATTCCGAAATCAATCTATTGGAATTTATTTATGACTGAAAGCGATTTAAAAATAAATTGATAAACCTCACTTGTGCTATTGGAATGCTTTGGCAGGGTACCAGTGGAAGATGGCACATGAAGATGAAGTCACTTCAGCATTATTGCATCAGGATATCAGCCATTATCTGTCCACTGCTGAACATAGGCTCCTCTCATAATGATGGGAGGGAAGTTTTTTTTTTGTGAAAATGGTATGGTAACCCCGCCTGCCCTAACGGGATACGCTGGCGGAGCACCAGTGAAGGATGATAGATGAGAATGAAAACAGGCCAGTGATGAATTCATCAGCAATTAACCATGATAGTTTCCAGGAAAACCGCGAGGAGGTCGACCTGGTTGGGTATATTGCTAGCAATGGGATTCTCAGTCTCCATTACTAACAATCCCTTTCCCCCATGGGAGGGAGGTTACCAGTATTTGCCACACTTTTCAGGCAGATTAGCAACCGCAGTTAGGCTTTGGTGATGTTTTGAAAGGAACGCTGCTGCTCTTCCCTCGACCATTAAGTTCCCCTTGTCGCCTATTATGACACCTACGGGAAAGGAAGAGTTGGCTCATTCAATGGCGGGACCACACTCCAATTATTGCGGCTTTGCACCTTAAGTACAGATAATATAATACTACACTAGTATTCTATGCCGGGCCGTGTGGTCCCGGCATCGAATAGGTCACACCTTCCTTTCCCGTGAGCGTCGTAAGAGGCGACTAAGAGAGAGCGCGAGATGGGCAGCAGCGTCTCTATTAAAACATCTCCAAGGCCTAACTACGGTTGCCAATCCGCTTGCTAAGCGTGGCAACTACTGGCAAAACCTCCCTACGGGAAGGTTTATTTTCAGCAGTGGACAGTTAAAGGCAGATTTGATGATAATACCATAAACAACTTAACACATTCAGTGAAATCCACAGTATTATGTCTCTATAATGAGAAAAAATAAATCTCACATCTATGAATACATCATTTATATACTGACAAGAACATGTGCGCCATCTGTAGAGTCACCAGTGACTCTATTGTTACAAAACGTATTGCATACAATTGTATACACTATTGTGTCCACGTCGACTGTGTGAACGATGATTAGTTTCAGTGTGTTACATGGCTGCTGGTATTTTTTTTTTAAATGTATGATAATGGAATAGTAACTCCACCTGCGCTAACGATATGCGCTGGCGGGGCACCAGTGAGGGATGATAGGTGAGAATAAAAAAAGCAGGTCAGTTCAGTCAGGCCATCATGATGAATATACACTTGGAATTCAGCACGATGGTTTCCAGGGGGGACCACGGTGAGGTCGACCTAGTTGGGTATATTGCTAGCAATACGGCCGTCTTAGTCTTCATTACAAACAATACCTTCCCCCTAGTTACTGTTATTGAACAAAAACATTCTTTTTTTAATTTTGTAAACTCTGATATAGATAAATTGAGGAAAAAAGGTTTTTGAGTGACGACCGCGTACAGGCAAACACAGTGTAAGATGACTCCTCCCCACTAGATAGAGTAACGACCTGAAATGCATTGCAGAGGGTCAGTGGATGCAGGTGGCTCAGGACCGTTCTTTATGACAGTCTATGGGGGAGGCTTATGTACATGAAATGATGATGATGATGAATGATAATATAGATAAGTGTGGACAAGAGTTTCGTGATACGATCAGCGAAATATTCTAAACGAGATTATATCTATTTTACTCAGCAAAAAAGCTACTTAAAATATAAATTTTTGTATAGAAAAAAATATCCATACTCCACCGTGCATTTCTTCGCACAGGTAGATAGAATTTTCAAAAATAGCATGTAGTCTATGTTATTCGCTGAAAATGTAGCTTTATATATATGAAAGAATTTTTAAAATTGGTTAAGTAGTTTTTAAGTTTATCCATTACAAATAAACAAACAATCAAATCTTTCCTCTTTATATTATTAGTATAGATAAAGCCCATAAGTTTACCATGCACTTTTTTTTTCTTTTAATAGATGATAATGGAATGGTAATCCTGCCCGCGTTCTTGGTACACACTAGCTGGACACCAGTGAGGGATGATTGATGAGGATGAAAAGATAGGTTTGATCATCATTAATTGTCACCGTGACAAATTCAACGATAAATTAGTCACGATAAGTTCCAGGAGGAACAGCGTGGAGGTCGACCTGATAGGTAATATTGTTAACAATAGGGACTAACCTCCTCATTACTAATAAACCAATCTCCCAAGTTTTGCATGCGCTGATCATGGCTACCTTTATGACTATATCACGTGTGATCACGTATGACAAATCATATGCAACGACGAACTATAAGAATTGTCGATGATCCCAGGCTTACAAGCGGTATCGAGCCATTAAGTCTTAGGAGAGATTTTACCTCACTCTGCGTTTTCTACCATTTGTTTAACGGACTGTGCTCAGAGGAGTTGTTCAATACGATGCCCAAGACCACTTTCTACCATCGTACAGCTCGCCATCGACAGGGATATGATGGTGAACTACCCTCACATCCTACAGCCTAAATGGTCGCCTACAACGCGGCTTTAGAGATGTTTTCTCCCATGAACGCTCAGGTTATGAAATGATCTGAGGTTTACCCAAGAGACTACAGCATGGGTTTCTTTAAAAGGGGAGTAAAGAGCTTTTTCAGGATCGGCAACGCGCGCGTAATACCCCTGGTATTGCAGGTGTTCATAGGCTACGGTAACCGCTTACCATCAGGTGAGCCGTATGCTTGTTTACCACCTCAGTGTTATAAAAAAAAGTTGCTTATAGTTCTCAGTAGATTCTATTTTAAGACATGCAAAAGAAAAATAAGCCACATTCACTTATTAGTGGGGAAGTATATTTAGAAATGACTAAGTTTGTTAATTATCTACAGATACTTGTTACAACTAACACTAAATAACTGGCAGACAAATTCTAGGCAAACATAACTTGGGATGACGTCACTGATATGATAGGAAGACCTGCAAAGACGATGTTCAAAGGTGAATAATTTTTTTCTTGAACACACCTTTTTTTGTATTAGGCAAAAAAACACTGCTCTGTAATTAATGAATAATGACTAATTTGTCATTTCTCATTTAATGCGTATTGGAATTGGATAAAGATTTTTTTTTAATCCCTTTTTCTGTAAGAAGCGTTTAAGGGATTATTTATTTGCATTACTTACAGCACATAAACAATAACAAAAATGTGCATCTCACAGTGAAAAAAGATAAAAGAATACATATACAAAAAATAAAAAAATGCATAAAATAAGTAACAATGTTTTCCCTACATGCGTGTGCCACAGTAACACAAAATGATCACAACTCAACTTATTACTTTGCCCTCAAAAGAGCAAAACACTGATATTCTGACATAATGTGGCAACTACTGACAAACCCTCCTTATGGGACAGGCCTATGTTCAGCAGCGACCGATATGATATGATGACACGGATAAGCTATATCCTAATTTAAAACATATGGGGGAAAGAGATTGTTAGTAATGGGGTGTAATGGCCCTTCAATCAAGTCGACCTCCACGCGGTTCCCCCTGCAAAACATTGTGATCAAGTCTTGTTGATTTCGTCACAATGGGCCAACTGATCTGTTTTCATCCTCACCTAACATACCTCACTAGTGCCCCGCCAGTGTATACCGATAACGCAGCTGGAGTTACCTTTTATTTCACTCATAAAAAAAAACTTAAAACATAAGATATTTTAATTGACTACCTGAATTACAACTAGTACAAATAAAAAGCTTAATTTGAAAAAAAAAATATTTAATAGTACCTTACCTAGATAATAAAAAAAATATGAAGTACCTACTACATAAAAATAACATACAATTAGGTTAATCTACAATAGTTCATGATATGACACATTCATGAGTAAATGAGCTGTAAGCTGATAGATTATTTAAATATCGAAATATAATAGTCTACAAAGTTTATAAATAGACTATTTCAAGATAACCCAAAAGTAAGCCATTGACACTTAACTAAAATAGGTACGCTTTATCAAGGTCATCACGTACATTACCGCTAGATGCAACATTGTTCACAGTAACAGTCATTCAATAACTTCGGTTGTTGCCCTTGCAACGATCAGAAATGTATTTATAAATCCTCAATGTACCGCTATTAATCACCCCCAAGTGAGTGCAAGTTAGCTATCTACAATGCACATGGTGCATACCCTCACCACACGATATATTAATAAACCAATCCGCACACGAAGCGTCAATGATAACGTACACTGCTGCTCAGATAAGATTATTTACAAACTTCTTGTACAACAAAACGGAGATGTAACACGTGTCGCCAATAACCCCAATACGTGTTAAGAAAGCAGCGTAAGCGCGTAACGCCATAAAAATGACGTTCGTGAGTGGACGGCTGGCATCGACTTCGACCAATGCGGGCGCGTTTCACACAGTTCCACACGCGAACTCAATATCATAGCACACAGTTTGCGCTAACCAGTTGCGCGTTTCTCCGGCCGGTCTTCAAGACGTATTATAAATATTAATTCGTACATTTAACCGGCGAAATAAAGAGTTTCACAATCATTTCTGAAAGAATAAAACTTCTGTTTCGTGTGAACACGTGTTTTTGAGGTTATAGACTAACTAACGTTCAACATTCCATTATGTTGGTGCTACCGTGAAATGGGTCATGGTGTAACATAGTGTTGCATTACTGTAAGTATTTTCACTTTTGTTGCTATTATATTTTTACTATTGCACCGGTTAACTGCGCACGGGTTTTATTTAGAACTTTCATCAAATGTTATCCAACATAATCGCGCCGCCAAATGTAGCGTTAGCTACTGTTCATTTTTTAACTACTGTACTACATAGATGACATATTTAAGTAGACAGTGCATGCGCTTGCAAATCAATGAACTCCTAATACTTTTTTTTTTTAATGGATACTTTTTTTTTTATTAATTACGATGACGAGGCACGAATGCGAAATGATAGATAAAAATTAAAAGGCAGGTCAGTTAGCACATCGTGATGAATAGACCTAGAATTCAGCATGATAGTTTACGGACCACTTGAAGGTACCATCACCACATACCACCTGACAGGGTATAGTGCTAGCAGTAAGACTCGTAGTCCGCATTACTAATAATCCTTTCCTCCCCAATATTTCGTAGTTGGGTCTAACCAACCTTCACGTCTATCATGAAAACGTCTTCACCTCTAGGTGAAGAGATGAAAACGATTTTTTAATTAATATAATGTAATATGGAAAGATCAATATTACTTTGCTAATAGTTAAATTATAACTACATTTTTTTCTAGTAAATGTAAAGGATTCTGTAATAACATTATCTTATTTAAAATCGTGATTAGGTTATCGTTCTTTTTAATTTTTTTCTTTTTCTTTTAATCATCAATTAGATAGCTGATCTTTTATGTTTTTTTTTTTGCTTCCTTTTTCTTGCATTATTCTTAGCAACTGCGGTAGCGGCTGTATTTCGTTTTGAAGGGTGGGATATGGCAGTGAATTTACACAGTATAGAGGATTAACACCTTAGTCCTCAGAAATGGAACGGCATGGGGGGGGGGGGGTATCATGGGCGAAACGGTATACTCTGTCATGTCGATGGTACCGATCATATCTATAGACGACGGTTACCACTTACCGTCAGGTGGGCCGTCAGCTTGTTTGCCATTCTAAGTTACATAAAAAACGAAACAATAGAGAGTAAGCCATTACTTACTATTATTGCGAAAACTTACTTCGTTCCTTGCATTGGTGACAACATCATTGTATTCAGTTATATTAGAAAAGTTCCGTTCCATTATGTATGAAAATGCTTTTTTTACAAAGGTTTTACATAAAAACAATTATAATTTAGTGGGTACCGTTACTGACTAATGTTGTCATTAATGTACCTAAAATAATTATCATAGGGGAAAGGGATTGTTAGCGATGGAGACTGTGAATCCCATTGCTAGCAATATACCCAACCAGGTCGACCTCCTCGCGGACCTCTCCCTGGAAACTATCATGGTTAATTCCTGATGAATTCATCATGATGGGCTAACTGGCCTGTTTTTATTCTCATCTATCACTCTTCACTGGTGCTCCGCCAGCGTATCCCGTTAGCGCAGGCGGAGTTATCATTCCATTTTCACCCATAAAAAAAAAACAGTTATCAGAATGGAATTACTAGTTACTGTATACTACTAACAATAGACATCCAGTTGAACTCCTCACAGTTCTCCCTTGAAACCATCGTGGTTAATTCATGGCGAATTCGTCACGACGTAACAACTGAACTGACTTCATTCTTACCAACGTGTCATATCTCGTTGTGCCCTATCAGTGTATACCGATAGCGTAACCAAGGCAACCGTTCCATTTTCAAACCAAAAAAAAAATCAACGATGTAATTCAAATATAGTATCTTATAGCTGTGATCTATGCCCGTAATTATAAGTTAATGAATGTACTTTTATATTCTGTTACCTTGTAACTGTTACTTTTTGGCTGATGGCTTTCGCCAAAGTCACAATAAATGAAAAAAAAAAGTTAATGAATGTAAATGCTTCTCCATTTAAAATATTATAGATATTCAAAGAAGAAAATAGGCTTATTTATTAATATGATTTATCGGATCTTCATATAAAAATTATACTCGTATGTGTTAATCGAATTTTGTTTCCATCTTAAACGCAATTTAGCAGTTTTTTATTGTACAATATAAAAATATTGGCCAAATATTTGTTCACAAATATGATCTTGGCATCTTCAAACCACGACCGGTTCACTAATTGGGATCACAAAAAATACATGCAACAAAAAAGGGCAGCTACATCTTAAAGTTGGGACTTTAGCTGGTGCTCAAAATAAACTACTCAATCTTGATGTAAAATTACAATTCATTTTAATACAATGTCGTTGCGCAGTTATATACGTAACCATATATGAGTACATATATGGAGATCTGAGATATTAGTTGAATTCCGCTAGAGACTACAAGTTCATATTCTCGTGCATGTTGCTATTATGATTTATATTAAACTAGATAGAGCATGACTATTTCATATAGATCTTAAATGAAACAAGGTCTGCCAGATATATCTCTCACTATATTTTGTCTATGTCAAAAGCAAGTTTAAAAAAATTGCCTTTCTTAAAACGTTAAATCTGTCACTATAAAAGCTATTATATATAAAAGCTAGACTTTAAATAAATTTAATAGTACAGATATGAAATAATTTCATTGCATATTAATTGTAATAAACATACAAGTTTAAAAGATTTAGTTCAAACCTAATTATAAATTGTATTCCACATAAAAAAAAACGATTTTAATTGTGGCAAAAACAGTATTTTGATTTAAAACTAAACTACTAAACGGTTTTTTATAAAATTTCTATAAGACGAAGCTGTAAGCATATCCTTTCAGGCAAAAAAATCTTAATCGGTTTACAACTGACAGAGTTATGAAGTAACAAACATAAAGCGTAATAAAGGAGTGACTGTTGAGTTTCTTACTGGCTCTTCTCAGCAGATAATAACTTCCCGAACACTGCAGTAGATTTAAAAAAAAATTATGATTTAAGAGTGTTTGTAAACAAGTCTATTTGAATTTGAATTCAACCGAATTGAGTACCTCCTCCTTTTGGAAGTCTGTTAAAAACCCTAATCTAAGGTGTCAGTTCTCTAAATCTATTCCTAACATTAATATTCCAATCACATCAAAGTTCTTGTTGTAAGGTCCATTATGAATTAATTTTCTAATAGATTTAAAACTTAATTTTAGTTAAGTAATAGTCCATAAAATAGAAACTTCACGATATAATCAAATTAAAATTTTAGGTTAAGAGAAATTACGCCTCAGAATCGGTCCCATTCTTACACTGCAATGTCTTTGTAATACGTTACTAATAAAAAATCAAAGATTGGCTTCACTTAAGGTTCCAGTTTCGTTGCCCAGTTTTCATCAATTGTCACATAATCAAAGATTCACACTACCATTTTCGTTCCAATTATAGGGTATCTATTATAACCTTCAAATTTTAAGGCCAGACTATTCTAAAATCGTAATACGTAACTGTCTGATATTTAAGAATATTAGGTGGTATTTAATAGAGATTAATAAAAGAATCTGAAATCCGTTTCTTTTATGCTTTAATTTTTCTTTTTTTCATTTCAGTTTTAGCTACCTTACTCCTATTAAAAATGTTCCTCAATTCTGTCATTTAGACCGACAATTTGATAACAAACAAACATAAATTAAATTAATACAGGAGAGACCAAAAGATTTAAAAGATAAACTAACTAGTAGCAATTATTAATTTTTCATTTTTTGTAAAACAGATTACAATCATTGGCATTGGATTAACCTAACAGCATCCAAGTATTAATCAAATCTTTGATCTAAATTTATATTTACTGGCACTTTTACTAAGAGAGACAAATGTTACTGTGATACCAGACAATTCAATGGTCATTCCAAATTATATCAAGACTAGAACTCATTTCAAAGTCCCATATATGATTTCACTTCGTTTCATTCGTTTCAAGTGAATACGTTATACGTATTTGAAGCGAAAATCTAGTTTTTGATATAAGTCCAGACAATGATGTTATCAAATATAGTATCACCTTGCAGTGATATAATAAAATGCTATTAGAGATTTTGCAATTCTTAAAAATTTCAAAGTGACTGTTAGTTTTCAATGCAATTAGAGTGTTAACACACACTTTTAAACTCAACTTGGATCTGCATGTTCTAAGTTATGGCCCCAGATGCCTTTTACTTGATTTTTCACATTGTAATCTAGCTAGAAGACTATACAATTGATGTAATTGCAAAATAAAAATTTGCAATTATGGAGGTATTTCGTGGTATGTGGTAAGAAAGGTATTACGTTTGAATGTGGATAGTTATTAATGCAAAGGAAGACATAAAAAGAGATGGATGTACTATGGGAAAAATGACATAATCCGAAAGGAAGTGACTAGTGAGATGACTGTAAACAGAGATGAAGAGAAGAAGAAAACATATTACGCCAACCCTAAACAGACATGGGAAAAGAGCAGGAAGAAGGGGACTCGGTTTGGATCAGAATGTTCGGAGTTGTGCCCTCAGATGGTTGTTACTGTGTTTTTAATAAATATAATTTAAATATAAAATAAATTATATCAATTTAATATAATTGCAAAATACATATTTTGCAATTATTGAGGTATTTAGTACTAATAAGTACTTATAGTGCTTTGATGTTCTCAATAATATTATAAAAGGCTTGTGCACACAAGTTACGCCATCTGTGTTTAATTCCCTTAGAAAGTACAGAATGATGATTACTTTATTAAAATTATTACGTACATCTGTCAAGTTTATATTTACTTTTAACTTGTTTGCCAAAAAACAACCACTTTGTTTATCTTATATTGTATGTTTTTATAATATTATTTATACATTTAATAATGTCTGAAGTTTATTCTTTAACATTATTGATATACCAAAAGTGTGTGCAATAATCTTTGTTCTTTTGAAATATCTTATAATTTTGTCATTCGTATGTTCGTTTCATTAAATTCTTACCACAGACAAGTTAACTTATACTGATCCATTGTTCTTAACATACTGAATCGACTATAACTATTATAATTTGTAGCAAGGTTTACTTTTATACCAACTTCAAAATAGAAGAAGGTATACAAAAAAATA